CGGCACTCCGGATAACTCGGCCACACCCTGGCAGGGCAAAAAAATCCTTAGTTAATTAATTTTCATTATAGACAGCTTTATAAAAGTATAAAAGCTCTCATAAAGTATTTTTCTGAGGTCTGTCTTATCAGGTAAATTACTGTACACAGTGTATTTATTAATTTTCATTTTCATGTAGTAAAGGCTCTATGCCTTCATAAAGGATGTACTTTTCCTTTGTTTAAGGGTATTTGGGCAGTTTATTCTCTGTTATATTCTCAAATAAACAATACATACAAGTACAGTACAGTATTTTCTGAGGAAACACTTGTACTTATTTTTTTTAACCCCATTCCCGATAACCCGGCATTTTTACAAACTCGGCCACCCTTTGGTCCACATTAGGCCGAGTTTTCGAGGTTCTACTGTACCACAAATTAAATTGCTAGAATGGAAATGAAACTTTTGCATAACTCACTCAACTCTAATAATTGATAAACAACTGCTAAAATTCTAGTTAGAACTGTTTTAAATTAAAAAAGTATTTTTAAACTTTAAACAATTTAATTCCATATAATCTGTAAGTTAACAATGATCAATCATATGATTGAAGACTGACTAAATAATATGTTTGGTAACCAGAATTTTAGCAGTTTATTATTATTATTATAGTAAAACCTCAATTTAATGGCCATCCAGATCAGACTCAGATTTCACAGACAAAATCTGTTAAATCTGAGTCTGGTCTGGATGTCACATGTGAAAATCAATACCCTGTTAATTTTACAATGATTTTTATATGTAATTAAATCAACAGATTTTTTTTTCAACTTAAGAGTCATCACTCATAATGTGTATTTTCCAAAAATTGTTCATTAATTTATTTGATTTACATTGTATACTTGTTTATTACAGTCCCAGAACTGCATCAAATGTATAAGCAATAACACATATAAAAAACTTTTCTGTGAAATTAAAGTTATACATATATAATTTTAATTACACAAAAGTTTCTAATAAGTAAAAATGGATAAACTAACTAATTTGTCAATTTTTTAACACATGCATTCAGAAAATCTACTCTATTATATAACAGATTCAGCTTTAACAGACACCCCAGCCCAAATTCATCTGTTAAATCAAGGTTTTATTGTATTATTAAATTAACAATTAATGAATACATATTAGAATTTATAATAATGTATTGTAAAATAATTTGTTTATAAAATTATTATTATTTAAATAGCAGCTTTAAGCTGATAATCTGAAGTGTGTTGTATAAATTATAATGGCATTATTTTATAAATACATTTCTGGTTGTCATTTCTGTTAGAATGTAACTATAGTTTAGGATAAATTTAGAGATTCATAGTTTAGGATAAATTTATATTAATGTGTTTTAACTATATACTAATTTGAGCTTAACCAATTTGTTTACAGTTTAAAAGCTATTTAGAAGTTTATTTATTATTATTTAATTTAGTAGTATATTAATATATATATATATACTTTTTATTTTAGCCTCCTAGTGAATTAAAACTTAATGGAAAAGCTGATGTTGTATATGATGCCTTGAAACATCTCTTATATATTGCTGAACTTCCAGTTATAAATATTTTACATCCTTGCCTATTGAAATTTCTTTCAGGACAAGAAAGAAATCCAAAGAATTCTTCAGTAGATTTCAGAGTAAATATTTTTATAGAAAATTAATTTGTTTTGGTATTTTAAAATATTAATGTAAATGTAGACATAATTCCCAAATTTTTATAAATAATAGTCATGAGAACACTTTTAGTAATTAAATAAAACTGAAAATATTCAATAAAATAGAATAAATAGTACATGTCTTCATAATTTATCCTTTTTACACAACTCCAGGAAAACAAGTCTCTACAGTAAAATTCAGCTTTTATTGAAGGCCACTTCTCCACCTCAGTTTGTAAAAATGAAAAAAATTCCAGTGTGACAGCACAATTATAAAAATGTATTAATTAATAAAATGGCCAGAATGACAATAATACATATAAATATAATGCATAAAAATATTCAGTAAAATAAAATAAACAATAAATGTCTTCATAATTTGTCCATTTTACATAAAATGGACAAATTTCCAAAGAATAAAATAAGAACCCTCTAATAAACAACACAGTTGCCAGTTGAAAAAAGTTAGGCCATATGTTGTTTATAGGAATAAATATGGAAGTTAGAACTTATAGCAAAGTTACCAGGAGAAACTCTATGATTAAAAATATGTAAAGATCAAGAATTGGATGAAAGTGGATATGAGTATAACAAAAAAAAAAACAGGCATGGTTATTATCAAACTAGATAGGTATATTTAAACTTATTTATAAATATAAGCTATGTAATATAACATATTATAAGGTATATAACATTACAGTTTGAAATATCTAGTATAATATAGACATGCAGTTGTTATGTTGTTAATTAGGAGAGCCTACACATTATTATCAACTTGAGAGTCTTAATGACAAATTGGGCTAGTCAGTCATACTTTGTAAGGATTAAAAAAAAAAAAACAGGAAAAAGACAGAGAATTAGTTTAGTACTCAACACTTCACATGTCACTTGTGGCATACTTTTGTTCTCTAATTCTCTTCTTTCTCCATATTCTGCAATTCTTTTTACATTGTTAATCAAGAAGACTGTAAAATAGAAATTTTTTATTACCACTTTTATGTATTTTGGTTAATCAGCTATCTGAATATCAAAATTTGAATAAATATTCATTTAAAATTTACAAATTATATTAAAAATGCATTTTGTGGCTATCTTTCTTAATTTATTTGATTGGCTAATAAGTAAAAAGATAAAATTGGACAAAACTTCAATTGATTATCACTTATTCTGCATAATAAAGAACAAAATGCATATATATGTTTACAAAATAACAGGAATATTTCAAGGAAATGTAAATTTTGTGTACATGATTAACATAAGCAAAACACAAGAATATGAATGAAATCTGAATCACTCTAGTGTATTAAAAAGTCCTGTTTGATAGACAACAGATTGTTTAACATTATGAGAGCAAAATTTCATACTGATTAAATAGTTAATTTCTTGATCATCTGTAAAGAAGTTATCAGATAAAAAAACCTCTCAACAACTTTATTTTTCAACCTCTGGAAGAGTTAAGAAGTTAATGCTAAGTGACCAGTCAAATTATTGGCTATTTTGGGTACATTAAATTATGTTGGTACATTTATTTTGGCTAATTGTTTGACGTCAATTAATTAAAACAGGTTATGAGTGACTTATTTTTTTATATATACTCATTTTGAAGAATGTAAAAACAAAATTCTAAGTTGAGTGAAGAAAATCTTAGTTTCAAATCAGCTGTAAGAGAGAGAAGCAATGTCAATAAATTTTGAATATGATAAAACAAAACAGCTAACAATGTCCTTCTTTGACAAGATGGCCTATGACAAATACTGTATATACTCACAAATAATATGAGGATTTAATTCATTTTTCACTGCTTTAAAATCCTATGTTGTCTTATATGCGTGAGCGAAAAATTCTTTGTGTTTTTGCAATAATTTTGTGAAACGTGTGTTTGCATTTTTTACCTAATGCTCATTCTCTAGTGTTTAAAAACAAAAGTATTTTTTCTGTGTCATTTCAATCATTATTGTGTGTTGTCATGAGTAAAGATGAATAGCAATAGGAAAAGCAAAGCTTTTGAATTGTATTTCAATTTGAAATTCCAAAATCACACAGGTGCCTGATATAAGTTTTAATCCATTCCCACACGAAAAAAAGATGATTATTTTGAAATCAGAATTTGAAGAAACTGATAAGTGTAATTGACAGATAGTGGATTCGACTGTTAAGAATTGGCAAGAAAGGTTTCCAATTGTTCAACTTTATATGAACAAATTATGTTGTCAATTTTACAAGATTTTTTATTAAAGTTTAAAATGCCAGTAATTTTTGCAGGACAATGTATGCATTTATGTGCATTTGGTATTTTATTTATGATTAAACGAAATAAAATTAAATTGTGTTAATAAATCTAATTTTCTTTACTTTGACTTTTAAAGCCACAGCTTGTCCTATATGCAAGGTTGTCTTATATGCAGGTGAACATGGTATACAGTATATATAAGGTGATCAGTTGCACCAATTGCTTATGAAAAATTTTAATGCCAGTAATCACTTCTATGAAAGATTGCAGAGACACAGCTACATTTTTATTTATTTGTTTATTTGCCCTATGAGTACCAAGAAAATGTTTGTTTGTCTTTTTGTTTAATACCTGTTGTGGGTTCAGCCAGGGATATAATGGAGGCACTCAGGTGGCAACAGATGGGGTCCAACATATCTGGGACAGACAACTTATGAAAAATTCCTGAGGTTTTTTTGACCATGAGTTTCTCAGAGTGGTAGGCTGGCACCTTAATTCCTTGGCCATCCAACTGTCAACATTTTTATTTGACAATAGACAATGTCTATTGTAAAATATTGTCACAGTCACTTACAAAAGTATAAGTAATTATTACTTGCATGGTGTCTTTAAAGTAAGGAACAAACAAATGAGATGTGAATCTTAACTTTTTGCATATGTACATAATAATCTAGTTGTTTTTGAATATTCCTATATATCTTAAAACTATTTCCTACAATTTCAACAATAAATTAGTAATGGCAGTCAAAACAACCATCTTCAGTTATTTTAGGTATTCAAAACTTGTAATCACTTGAGTGTGAAAAGTTTGACATAATGACATTATAATTGTTTTAACTTGTTTTTCTCATATTTGCATTCTGAATTTAGAGCTTTCAAATAAGGAATTTTTGAAAATTTTATGAAGTAAAACTATCTAAGAAAGCATCTAATTAAATTATCCATCATTATCCTATATATTTTAAGAAGATAATATATATTGTATATAACTGAAAACATTTTTCAAAACTTTTGTAATAGCTTAATTTTCTATTTAGGACATACAACTTTATCTCAAGAATCAAATTATTATTAACCAATGAAAATATCATTTGTTATTAACCAAACAAACATATCTGGTAGATAAGACAAAACAGTTAGTAAGGAATATGATATATAAATTTTGAATTGTTTGATTCAAGCAATTCACCAAAATGAGGCATCAATTTTAAAAATAAACTAGTTTTCATTGCACAATAATAATTAACAATTTCTAATAGTTTATTGATATATTTCTTCATACTAAAAGAATTATTTAGTTTATATTTATTTAATTAACAACAGCAACCAAAAACCAGCATAAAAAATAATGGAGCTAAATGACCCCATAGCAGTTAAAACAATGAGATTCTACAAAACTGTAAACTTCCTATCCTCTTCCCCTTCCTCTCTCTTTCATACATCACCTCCCCTCTTGACACATGTACAGCAATTCCCCTTTGTTTTAACAGCTGCAACATCATTTAGCCTGATTATGACCATTTAACACAAGTGAAAACATTAGCTCTGTTATTTTTTATGCTCATTTTTGGTTTTGGTTGCTGCTGTTATCAAGTTTACCAGTTTGAGTGATTGTTTTATTTTTATTTTTAGTCAACTCGTTATGATGAAGTATATGGACAACTTTTGTGGAATATGGAGCATGAACAAAAAATATTATTTCGAAGAGCATATTCTGCTTATATTCCTGAATATATTAATGCAATGGGAATAGCTGTATGTTATCATATGAAGGTAAGCAAATTAACTAAGATATTTACTGAAAGAACTAATTTGAAATTCATTTTCAAAGTTATATTATTATTTTCAGAAAAATTATTGGGTTAATATTGAATATGAAATGACAAGTCATTTTATATCCAATATTTTAAGTGATATATGGATATTGATATAAGATTTTTTTTATTGAATATTATTTAAGTCAGTAGACTTAGTTATTTAAATTTTTAAAAGTCAGTTTTTTGAAAAATATTTTAATTTGATTGAAAATGATTAAATTAATTTTTTATATTAATAGCAAACTTTAAGAACGTTGTTAGAATACTTATTAATATATGATGGACCAGAAGAAGTGAGTAGAAGAAATGCACTTCTGTCACTAAAAGTGTTGATTTCTGTTGCTTGGCCAAGGTATTGTATTTGTTTTAATTTTTTTACTATATACATATTAATGTATCGTAATATATTTTTAAATTAATCAAAATTACAAAATTTTTTAAGTTTTATGTTTGTTTTTGAAAATAATAATTGTAAAATTTGTAATATTTGTATATTTAACAAAATTGATAAAATAATTTCTTGTCTTTAGATGTTAAGTTTTCAATTATAATAATTATAATTCACAACATACAGGGCTAGCTAGTAGTTGTGATAAAATTATTCTTATTGTCCTTAGATATTGAACTAAACTAGTTGAATTTCAAAATAAGTTAATTTAAACAAATTTACACTGACTTTCCTAGGTTTGTGATTAATTAGGACTGAGCAATCTTTCATGAACATACAATTCTCATACTTTGAGTTCCATTTTCAATGTTAAATTTGTAATTGTTTCAAGACTTTATGTATTACTGCTGTTTTAAAAAACTTTTAGCAAAATGAATGGTTTTATTAAATAAATATTCTGTTCTGCTGTTTGTAGTGTTGCAAAAGTCATTTTACTTAAGCCAAAAAGAAAAAATAAACAAAACTGTAACATGACAGACACCATATGAATGAGTGAGAGCAGTGATCTTTTAGCATTGTGCCTGATAGAACATCTAGTTTGCACAGTTACCAGCTCTAGTTTATAGCAGTACATAAATCTTCCATTTCCTGAAAGGTTGAAACCTTTCACAAAAGTTGAAATTTTAGTACATAAATTTTGAATCATGAATGATCAAATTCCCAAACACTGATGTTCATGAACGTTGAGGGTGTAGTGTATATAGTATATACAAGTATATTTCAAAATACAATCGTATTCATAAAGATTTAAATAATCACAATAATATGAAGAAAGTTTTAATTTTATAATAAAATAAACAAATTTTAAATATTAAAATTTTTTTTTATTAGAACTTCATACAAGACAATCCAGTGATGCAGGAGAATTAGAATGGGCTTATCTTTTGGTTTGATGTCAAACTGTGTAGTTTCCCAAATATAAAAGAAAATCAGTATCTGAACAAGGTTGCAGAAATTGCATGTCTATCCAAATGAGTTTTAAGTATAGAATCTAAAATAAGCATGCTATTTGATCACCCATGGCCCTGCATAAATTAGTACATAAATTAGTATTAGAGCAGCGATTATTCTAATGTTGATCAACCGAAACATCAATTAACTGAAAGCTTTCCAGTCGGCATATTTAAATTTCCGCTGGTGTTGTGGTGCTGCAATCTTTGGCTATGTCTTGGGCTACTCCAATATTATTTTTGTTGGTGTGCATGTTTTAACTGGCAGCGCTGGCACAACCATGAGAGGGTACTTAAAGACACGTGTGACTAAATATCTAGATGGCACGACATGGTGATTGGTCATCAGAATGACGTCAACCTACTGATATCGGAAATGTTGATCGATTAGCCTAAAGTTTGTTTTGTTGTTGTTATGAGAGCATGCAGACACTATAGTTTTTATAGACATTTCATCTAAAACTTGATAAAAGGCACATATTTATAATTTCACTAGCTCTTGATTGTGTGTATTGACATTAATGTTAAAATTATTGCAAAATTTTCAATTAAACAAAGATTTTAATGTTGAGACATTTTTAAATATCAAGAAGTAACTTTTATCTGATTTGTATTTAATAAAGCTTTTTTTATACATTTACTGTAATAATTAAAATAATCAGAAACAACATATGTAAATTGCAAATTAAGTTTTTTACATTCTTTATTAGACATACAGTATTTTTAACCATACAGAAACTTGTATTTAATTTATATATATATATCACCTAAACATAATTCATACTTTTTAATGCATAATTGTTAAAACATTAATAAGTTATTTTTTCTACTAATCTATTGGTTTGCTTTTTAAATCAAATCCTGTGGAAACTTAAATATAGACACTGCAGGTCACTTCACTTTATATTTTCCTACGCAGCCAGTATACAGCACATACAAGGCATCTAGAAATAGTTATTCATTAGTATGGTAATATTATTTTAACAAAAAATAAAAAATACAAATGTTTAAAAAATAGCTTACTATGAAAACATTACATACAAATGCAACATTACTTTTTCCTGACACTTATATTGATAAACAATTTTCATGATGAAATGTATGGAAATTCTTATTTAAAACATATATAACTATTACATTCAAAGGAATTTAAATACTTACATTATTATTGATTGTTCGATAATTTATACAAGAATTCTATACTTTTAATTAATTTGAAAAATAGTAATACAGATTTGATTAAACATATTTACAGATATATCTATTATGGAACTAGATATATGAAATTTCTATAAATTTGAAAAGTGTTGTTTCTTAACACACTGATTTTGAACTGACATTCAAAAGCACAGTCTTGTCTATTGATGGAAAGAACTATCAATCCCAACTAAAGCATTAAAAGATTTTTCTGATAAGAGTAATCTATGGAGAATATTCATTATTGAAAATTGTTCAATAACTTTTACATTTAAGCTTTATAATTTGTTAAGCAAGATTTGTGAAAATTTTCTCTTTCAGAGGTATACAAAACTTACTTAATTTTATTGTTTCATCTAACTATATTAAATGCATACGACAAATTCAAAAAGTATTCCGACTTGCCTTAATTATAAATTTCATCCTTTTTTGAACTTTTTATGAATAATATCTGTAACAAAGTATAAATTTTCTGTTATTTATTATCTGTGCATGTATATTTAAATTTAAAACACTATCACACTATTGAAATTATCAATTGTGTATGATTTGGTTCAGAGGTGCATAAAGATCAAGTATGAAGTTAAAATTCGTTCAAAAAAAAAAATAATAAAATAATAATAATAATTTATTAAGTAAACCATTTTAAAATTATTCCTATAAATTTAAGAAAACTTCCAAGCTAAACCTTATACTGTATTTTCACTTCATATTCACTCCATATTATGACAACTAAAGGAAATAATTTATTCTGGCATAACTTAATTCTTAGATTTGATCAGCAAAACAGAATTGATCAGCATTTCCTATTTCGGTGGGTTGATGTCATTCAGCTGACCAATGAGCGGGTTGTGCTATCTGGATATTTAGTCACCTGTTTAAGGATGTGCCAGAATTTGAACAAATTTCAACATGGGCTAGTCTAATATATTTTTCGTACATAATCGGTTATCCAAAAAATCGATTTTCCACACAACCCCAGTTTCCAATTGATTTGATAATCGATGCTCTACTGTACTTCATTTATACAATGGGCATGAGACAAGAAATAAAAACGTTTTGGAATAATCTAGTGGTAATTGAGGAATATAGAAGTGGGTTCTTAATTTGGATATTAGAGCAGATATACATATCCTCTTATATAGATATCTTATATCATCTTTACTGTTGATTACTTTATCACTTTTTGCAAGTTTGCTACCTGTACTTGATAGAATGTATCTTATAAAAATAGTAAGAAAACTATTAATAGATTCTGTATAGCTTAACATACATTTTATTTTATTATTTTATGATTATTATTATAGTGTACTTTTTATCTTATTTTGAGTATTTTAAAAAATGTATCACACATGTTCCTTTTATATTAATTTTAAAAATATTCTTTTTATGTTAGTTTATTTTAAAAATGTGTTCTTTATACTCTTCATTAATGTATCAGAGCTGAAGCTGACTTAAACAGAGTCAAAAACATATCTCAAAATAAGCATTTGTGGCTTTCTTAATTAGCAGAAATATAAATTTTTATTTGTTTAAACATGATGCCAAGTTTCTTATAGTATTACAAATTTAAAACAGATAGGATAATTGGGTATTTTACCTGATGTGTAAAATATCATTTTGATATTCTGTCAGCTTAACAGTAAGCATTGAAGTATTGTGGATGTTTTTCCTATATAGTCATAGTATTTTACATTATTCTGAAGGTTTTTACTTAGAGAAAATTATTTGTTAATGATGAAATAAATTGCTTTAATTGACTTGAAAATGAAATAAAAATACATATAGTCAATTATTGTCAGATACAGACATTCTAAAGATTTATAACAAAGATCAATATCTTTATAGTAATCAAATTAAATCGAAATCCTTTTTAAAGATCAAATTTCTCATACTCTGGTAGAAGCCATCAGCTTGCTGATGGTAAGATATTTGATCTGCTGATGACTGATCAAATATTGGTAACAAGTAATCACAATATACTTAATTTTATATTGTTGTAGAGAACCCATTCTTAATCAGCGGATTCCACCCCGTCTGTTCGTCTCACTAATTAATCAACTAGTCCAATATTTCCACAAAAAAAACTTTATTCCACTCTCAGGAACCACTCCCTCTCCCTCTTGTGTCCCGAATTCCTCTTTCTGAAAAATTCCTTCTTCCCACGTTTTCTTCCCCGGTCTTAATGGCCCCTCGTTAGCGTGTGTCGATGGATGGATCGCGTCTGCCCTGACGAAACCCCCCCATAGAGGGAGGACGAGAAGGTCCGATATCACTACACCCCCGCCGCAAGACAAGTGTTAGGGTGTTAACCCAAACACGAGTCTGAACTACAATTTTCGAACAAAATAAAGGTTACAGTAAAACTTAGTTTCTGAATACAAAAAGTTCATACAGATGATATACAACACAATTTTCCTTTTACACAAATTATATTAGTTCTCATCACTACACATCGAAACAAACATCACTTTTAATGCCACAAATATGCTGTTGAACCGGAAGTATCGTGAATTCCTCCAAAATGGCTCCACTGCTGCCTTTGTCGCCAACACGTTACGAAAGTTCTCAGTTACCCCACCAGTTGTTGGCAGGACCGTAACTTCCACCATAGTCTCCTTTATATTGAACATCATAGTTGTTTCTTTCGTAACCAACAGCAGAAGATGAGTATTTATTTGATACTGCAATGCGATCTGTGTTGCCTCGATCACGGCCGAACGGACGATAACCACGAGATTGGAGGCCGCTGGAGCCGTACCTCCTACTTCGACCCTCTAAATATTTACTTCAATTATTGGTCTTTTGTTCATCTTGCCTGTTCCGATTGTCGTTGTACTCGGAACATCTACTACCTTTCCGATGATTCCAGACACTTTTACTTCTGTGAATGTGTCTGGAATCATCTGCGATGTGTACTTTTACATCCAAATGATGCTTCAAGGACCCGCTGGCGCAACAGCGGTTCCTTGGAGCATCGTTTGGAGCATGCGGACCTCGCCAGTTATGATCACATTCGCTGTCTGTCATGTATGACATGTAGCTATCAGGGCAAACTTTTAGATATCCTTTTCTAAAATTAGAGAGATCTGCTTCTCCTCACTTATGACTGCTTTCTCACTTGCTTACATTTCCAAAATCTTCATGGTCACTGTATTTCTGACTACTAGAATCTTTTTGGCTCAGATAGCTTCTATTATGACTATCAGTTCTCTCAAGCAATGCTTTATCGTGAAGACCTACATATCGATCACTCGTATCCGAGTACCGGTTTCGGTCCCAATCAGTTGGTTCACAACTACCTGTTCCACTCCCACAATTACGAAGGTGAGGAGGTCTGTACACACCAGCTTGTCCTTCCAACACTTTGAGAATACTGGGCGGCATGAGATGAGGGCCCTTCAATTTCTCAGTCAGTGCCACCGTGACTTCTACGAGGGGGTAATAAAGTTTGGTTGCAACGGTCTTTAATAGCCATAGGGACCTTTACTGTCTATGCCTTGATCTCCTCCCCAAACGCTGAGCTCAAAACTATTGTTCCCTAGTCCCTGTCATTCGAGCTGGTAACATCTTCGGGGTGCAAGACTGGGACTTGGGTGCCTGAATCTACGATAGCTTCAGTATCTTGCCCACCTATGTTGACCGTAACATATTGTAAACATTGAATACTAGGGCCTGACTTCAAATGGCTGCTCGTTTTTTCATCAAAGTATTCTGACCTCACACTCCCCACTATCGCGACGTCGTTCCATCTCCGACTGGTCGAGGGTTGAGTGCGACTATCGTTTAAGGGTGTATCCCTTATCTTCTGCGGGCAGGATCTAGAAATATGTTGCGTTGATCCACAGATGAAGCACTCCCTCTGTTTCATTTCCTGATGATAGTTTACTGTGTCGTTCTGTCCCTCATTCCTCAGTGGTGGGGGATCGTACTCCTGGCCAGTACCCTGGCACTCTGGAAGACGCCACAACCCTTGCAACTCGTTGTATGTCTCGGTTAGAGATTTTCCCTTGCTTTCGAAATATAGGTCGCACTCTGTTGCCATATCGATAGGGTTAAACCACCCCTCGCCCTGACGTACGCTTATATGGGCCGCTATGTCAGCATCCAACGTCTGAAATAATCTGTCTGCCACGATTAATTGTTTTGCAGTTTCCAAGTCCTTCACTCTCCTCAACTCGCAATAGTATTCCCAAGACGACACTATTCTCGACATAAATTGCATGTGAGTCTCGTCGGGCCTAGCACTTCGGAAATTTTCCAGGCAACATTGGGCGGACGGTTCGTATTCTTGTAACACTAATTTCTTCATGCTTGAGTAATCCTTTAACTTGTCTCTGGTTATATAAATCAAAATGTTTGTGGCCTTTTCTCCCAGAATATTGATCAGTATCTTCGCTTTTATCTCTTCCGGCACATTCTTCGATTGGAACGCTCGCACTATAGATACAAAAATAGGTTCCAATTTTCGGACTTAGTTGGGACTGGCAATGTTAACATTTTCACACTCGTAATCAATTTCTCAATACTCCTGGTGGGCCCATCACCTGGATGGCTGTCCGTAAGACTGTTCGTTACTCGCCCTGCTTTGAATAGTAGCGTTGAATAGTAAACGAGTTAATCTAACTCGTGCTGTCATTCCCTTTCTAGCCTCTCTTGTTCCCTTTTTAGGCTCTCTTGTTCCTTCTTCTGTTTCCTTTCCACAACAGTGGAAGTCAAAATCTCCAGCACAAAATCTGGGTCACTAGCAAAATCGTCACTTTTCGTAATAAGTTCCCTTAACTCTGATACTCTCAGATTGTCGTCTATTGTGCCACAAAGCTCTTCCATCACGACCCATAGATCTTCCTTCTTAACTCCCTTTACGCTTAGCATTCCGCCGTGAATTCCGTTTCCGACAAGTACAAAATTTTCCTACCTCTTCTCTGGTGTAAATCTTGTATATTCCTCAAACCTTTGCTCTGTGCTCAATTACCCACTCTGCTCAGTTTTCAATCCATTCTCCTTATTCTGGTTCGTAATCACTCTCTTCACAGATCGAATCTTGTCGATCTGACTTCACAATCCTGTCGGCTGCGCCAATGTAGGGAACCCCTTCTTAATCAGCGGATTCCGCCCCGTCAGTTCGTCTCACTAATTAATCAACTAGTCCAATATTTCCACAAAAAAACTTTATTCCACTCTCAGGGACCACTACTTTGCACTCCCTTCCCTCTTGTGTCTCAAATTCCTCTCTCTGAAAAATTCCTTCTTTCCGCGTTTTCTTCCCCGATCTTAACGGCCTCTCGTTAGCGTGTGTCGATGGATGGATTGCATCTGCCCCGACGAAATCACCCAGAGAGGGAGGACGAGAAGGTCTGATATCACTACAATTGTGATAACTTGTTACCAATATTTAGGTTTTTATTTGATGAGAAAACTATTTTTAAAATACATATTTCTGTAAATGTTGTTGATTGCAATGGATAATAGCAATTTTAGCAAAATATGTAGTGCTAAATTATTTCATCATATTTAATAGTTTAAGATACCATCAGTTGTTACATGATATATTATTATTTCAGAATACCTTATCATTGGGAAGAAATTATGAAAAATATTCTTATTTGTATATATGAAGTAGAAGAAGAAGATATATCTATTGAAGGTATGATTGCAATTTATGCTATATTCATATTTCAAATTTATTTAGTACATTTCAAACAATTACTTTGTTGTTCATTTTTATTTTGCAAATTAACTGCTGTTTGCTGCAGAATAGTGTCAAGTATATATTTCTTGATATGCTAGTGACACACACATGCATAACAACATAAGGCAAAAATAAAAATTTCTTTGTGAATGCTTGCATTATATGCAAAGTTTTAAGTTTTTCAGTTTGTTAAGCATCTTGATATTATCTTGGTTTTGTTTGAAGCTATTGTAGTCTTGCTTGCAGATTTTTCTCGTAATTGTCCATATGTCATTAATATTGACACAAATTGAAATTTTCATTAAATGATATATATCAATATTTATAATTATTTCTCACAGTTAAGTAAAAGAAGTCATATATAAATAAAAGAATTTATATATAAGTACTAAAATCATCACTAAACACCTTTGACTGCTGAGACACATTTATTTGCTTATACACTAATGTTTTCATTCTAATGTATAGGCAATCCTCAGCTGACATTTTTGAACATCAGTTATAAACAGTTTCAAAATAGAATACAATTAATATGGAATATTAGAACATCAACTTTTAAATTTTATATATGAAATNTTTGAAGTAAGTATTAATACAATTAAAATAAAGTTTTAAAAAATAACAACAAAAACAAATCCTTTAATATTTCACTTCAAAAATAATGTACAGAATGTAAAAATATATGGCCAGGATGAATTAATCATTACAAAAAAATCTTTAAAAAGATTCTTCTAAGACAACACATACAAATGTGTCTTTATTCCAATCCAGTCCTTTCAAATGCACATTTGAGGAATATATTTTTACCAAATGTATATTTTTAATTTTATATGAAGTGCCATTGTCAGAGAGAGAAATTTTAACTGTTTGACATTTATTTATTGAACAGCCTGTAAAGAAAGGTCAACTCTGCCATGAAATTGTTTATTCCTCAAATGTGCATTTGAAAGGACTGGATTGGAATAAAGACACATTTGTATGTATTGTTTTAGAAGAATCTTTTTAAATATTTTTTGTAATAATGTACAGAATGTTTAATTTGTACAATTTTTGCACTAGTGATGAATTATGAACTATTTAAAAACTGAAAATGAAGAATGGCGTATGGTTCCTTTGACTTTATTGTTAGTACAGGGGTCTACGGTTTGGGGAGGTTGCCACCTCTTTATTCAGAGGGTAAATCTTACCATTCAGACTTTAACAGAGCTGTAGAGCATATTGATAGGAACAAAAAAGTCAAAGGAACCGTGCCTCATGGAAATTTGTAAAGAACGCCCACTAGTTTTATATAAAATAAAATTAATATAATGCAAAAACAGACATAAGGGGTGTGAAATTTTTATTTTCATAATATAGATATACATTCTTTCAGCAATTCACTCTTTTTTTCAAAAGTAGTCGAGCCTAAAAATGAATGACTAATATATATATACATATAAACATCTCAAAACCATGTCAAAGCCAGATGATTGACATAATGAATCAGGCTCTTTTATTTCTACTACAGTAGAGCATTATCCAAAACAATTCGGGACTGGGATTGTTCAGATAACTGATTTTACGGACAACTGATCTTGTACAAAAAAATATATTAATTTATCCAATGTTGAAAGTTTTCTCTGTTGTGTGTTGCTTCGCATTGAATTTGCATCGATGTTAAGCCTAAC